GAAACAACCTAAGAGTCCCTCAACTGACAAGTAGATAATGAAAATGTGATACATTTTATATAACAAAGTTCTGCTCAGTGGTAAAGAAAGATGAAATCATGAAATTTGCAGATAAATAGATGGAAGTAGAAACTGTTATACTAAGTGCAGTAACACAGACACAGAAAAAAAAAAATGAAGTATGGAATCCCTCATATGTGAATCCTAGCACCAAATCCCAATAAGTGAATATGTATCCAGACATAACTATAGGAACCAGGATAATGGAAAGGAAACAGAGAGGTAAAGGAAAAGAAAGAACCTGAATGAGCAGAACAGTAGGAAACAGGCCTTAATAAGGGAGATAGGGACAAAAATTGGGTTAGTTTAAGGGAGGGGGGAGGGAAGGGTATACAAGGAACCTAGGGGATAAAAGGAAAGAAGGAGCTCAAGAGAGGTAGGACCATAGGAGAAGGGTATTAGTAAGGGAGAAAGGGGGGGAATGGGCGTACCTTAAGTGGGAAAACCATGATGGAGAGGTGAGACAATGTGAAAGATAAATAATGCCTAGCTAGTTTTAAAAACCAGAGGGAACCATATTACTCCAACAACCTACTGACAAATTATACATAAAAGATCAAGAAAAATATCTCTAGATAAGGTTTATCTGAGAACAATTGGTCTTTGCCCAAGATTTATCTACATGACATACAGTAATTAAAAGTACCAGGCTGGTGGAACTAACCTTCTTGGATGTTTAACAGACATACTTTGAGGCCTATAATAATTTGGTCAGAAGGGCATAAAGGACAGTTTTTGCTCCTTGCCCTCCTAGGTCGACTGGTTCCAGAGGACTATGACCATCTCTCAAAATGTCCTGTAATTGTGGTGGGTCACCTGTCCTCTTGATCAAGGAGGCTGAGGAGACCCCACGAGATGGACTTGAACCAGTGTCCAGTCTACAAAGAGGAGGGTCAACACAGAGAACCACTTCCTCCATGCTTCCAAGCAAAGCCAGCCATGGTGAAGCAGGACCTTTGACTTGTCTTCACATAGGTGGAACTGGTAAAAGAAAGAAGCCAAGGGTTCCTCCCACACCCATGTGACCCCTGAGGAACAGATCTTCAAACGACCTTAAGAATAAAAAGAAATTGGTTTATCTTGGCCAAATATATGGCCTTAAACACCCAAAAGGAAAGTATAACCAAAGATTAAAAGGGCCAATATAATTTTTTAAGAGTCCATATTTATAGCTAAAGGCTACATAACAAGCAACAATGCCAGATAGGAGATACTTTCTTTTGAGGTGTTGGCCAGGGTGGCCAGAGGGACTCCCAGATAGTAACCCAGCATAGAACTGGGAAATTGAACAGCAGATCCCAATCTTATCTAAAGGAATGACAAATGATTGCCGCTAGATGAGGAACAGCTGACCTTCCTAAAACAAAGACCTCTAGATAGGCTGACTAGATTCACCAGATGGAAAAGTAGTGGGGAATGGCTGGGGGTGCCGACAACACAGCAGACAATAGCAGGGATATCAGAGTATAAGGGCTCTACTGGGGGCAGGGAGGCTATGGAAGGCTTCTGGGAAGTGGGTATATAGTTGAATAAGATGGTTTGGGATGTTGTGTGTGATATACACATATACAAAAATCAAATTTCTAAAAATGTATTTGAGGAGGAAGTATGGAAATTTACATCATGTTAGTTAGTAGAGGTGATAAACATTACCACTGAAATCTACTGGATGACTTTATAGACATACACAGGCACCAAGGTTCCAAGTGCAAACGATTATGACTAGTACTAATCAGATACATACAGATTAGAGATGTATGCGCTAACATCTCAGTGTTAGTAGCAAAAACAATAAGTCTTTCTGCAAGGAACAATATATTCTAAAATGAAATGGACGCCTTCAAAAACACCCAAAAAAAAAAAAGTCATTCAGTTTTGTCTTACAGGGCTTATACTCACCTTCCGATGCTCTGCAAAGGAGTCACTCCCCTTCCCTCTTCCAGCCAATTGATTAACCATACCTGCTTGCAGGGGAGGGGCTAAGGGTATAAAAGCTGAGAAAATCAGGAGGCCACTCTTTCACCATTTTGTGAGGCTGTCCAGAACCATGTGATTTATGTTTGGGTATGGACTTTCAAACAGCCAAATGAGGGGGGGGCCCGTTTGTCTGTAAGTAAACCTGCACCCCAAGCTCAGTTAGCAAGTTCAATAAACTCCTTAAGATTCTTCAACCCTGAGTTTGGGCAATTTTTTTTTTTTCCTCAGGCTGTCGCAAGAGCCTTGGGAGGAGGGAAATGGATGCCACGTGCACCACCCAGCAGTGAATTTGACTAACAATGCCTTTGGACCAAGCAGTCTGGAGGCAGAGGCCCTCAGATCTCTGTGAAATCTAGGCCACCCCGTCTCCATAGCAAGTTCCAGGGCAGTTGAGGGTACAAGGAGGCTTTGTCTCACAGATTTTTGATGTATCCTTGCTCTGGAATGTGTTACTGAATATGTTAAAGCTGTAATGAAATGCTTCTTTAAAAAAAATACAAAACAATAAAGAGTTTTGGGGAAGTGGCTTAAAAAAACCTATATCAACACTTAAAGTTATTTTCAAGAAGATATCAAATTTAAAATATACAAAAGGGCTACTTTACCTTTATATGTTTTACTCCACAGCTCACCACTCTATTTGGCTGATATGGATCCCAGGAAATATCAAAAATCTGTCAAAAAATTAAATGTTGGTAACTTTATATGTTTTGCCTTCTTCCAGAGATCAGTAAAATTGTGAAGACTGTATCCTAAAACACTTATCAATGTTGGCTGTACAGGATGAAGGAGGTCTTGGTCTGTGGACCATGGAGAATGGTCAACACTATCCTCTCCTGAGGAGAAAAGTGATTTACCTTACTCACCAAGTACAACTGGTGTCTTATTGAATTTTATAATTTTCATATAATATAGTTTGGTGGTATATATGCCTATCCGTAGCTCTTCCGTAGATGATAGATGATAGATAGATAGATGATAGATAGATAGATAGATAGATAGATAGATAGATAGATACTTGTAGAGTCTGATTTATGTCCCAAATGTCCTTCAGTGTGGGTTCATCCACTGGGCTCACCAAGAGTCCCATTCCTGTAAGATTTTCTCTCTCCCTCCCAGCAGTCATCGATTGCCAATAGTTCCTTAGGTTGTGTTGGGATTTCTTACCCACTTCACTGTGTCTGTGCTGAAATTTTGTCTGATTTGAGCTTGCATAAGACTTGTGCATGCTGCCAACATTGCTATGAGTTCATGTGAGACCAGCTGTCTGGAAGACTCTCCTTGTGGTCATCCGCCCCCTCTGGCTCTTACAATCTTTCTGCCTCCTCTTCTGCAATGATCCCTGAGCCTTGGGAGGCAGGGGTTTGAAAAGGTGTCCTATTGAAGGGTAAGCACTCTATGGCCTCTTGTTCTCTGCACATTCGCCAATTGTGGGTTTCTGTGTTACAATCTGCTGCATAAGGAAACTTTCTGGTGAGAGTTAAAAGACACATCTTCAATGCAACTCTGCACTTAGGATGAACACATCTCTTAACTCTCACCAGAGAAATTTCCTTATGCAGCAGATTAATTTTTAAAATAAAATTTTCTAGTACTTTTCACAGTGCTGATAAAAACACTTTGGAGATAGCTTTTCAACAGAAATTTTAAAAATTAGAAAATGCATTCTAATTAAGAAAATGTTTAATGCTTAACTACACTGTATTGTGAGCAACTGCCCCTAGTAATAATCAAAAGTAAGATAGAGGCTATTCCTCTGACATTTTGCTAGCTCATCTAAAACAATCCTCTAAACCTTCATTTTAGTGTGAGCACAAATACTCTTACATTTTCAATTCTCCAAAGAACTAAAAACATATCAGCTAGCACTATTTTTCATTCTTTACGAAGAGCTATGAGGCAGTTTGCAGGGAGAAGTGTTTCCATTTTGAAGACAGGAAAGAGAATACTCTGCCAATCCTGAAAGTTAAATCTCCTATCAGGTTGTTTAAAATACCCATGTCCAGGGCCCATACAACACATGTCAGTTAGTGGGTCTAGAATGAGTTCATCTACCTGCATTTTAAAACAAATTCCTGGATATTCTGATGCAGGTAGCCCACAGACCATGTTGTGTAAAGGGCTGACAGAAAGGGAAGGACCAATTGTCAAGAAATGATAATGGATTCCAGAAAAAGGATCCAGTCCAAGTATTCGCTTTAGCATCTGAGCTCAGCCAGGTTTCGGTATCTCTAACCTTTGTTTCATCTTCTCTAAAATTGTTCTCAGGTTTGTTGGAGATCAATGACAATAATGTGGGTGAAAAAATTCTGCAGATTATAAAGCATTAGTAATCAAATAAATAAGCATTTTAGCCACTAAAATAATCTCTTGAAATTTACCATAAGCAATCAATTATTCCTACTGATACCAAGGCATCAATAATACAAAATAAAACTATGTAATACAGGTTAAGGAACCTGGTGGACCAATATAAAGTATGTCATTAACATTCTGGATTCACGTTGTAACTGGGCCCTAAGAACTAGGATCTGTTTTCTAAAACTATCTTTTTCAGTTCCAGCTCCTTACAGAAATACCATGCTGATAGTGAAAAGAGTCTGTCCCCCAAAGCCCTGACCTCTAACTTGGGAGAAAGATTTATCTCCTAGTACCAATAACTAGGGCCCACAGGTAAATCAACATATGCACAACCCCAGGCTTTTGTTATAATCTTTCTGTAACTTCTAATAGTGCTATAGAGCAGGGGAAGGTAGAGCGGGAATTTCTCCCTCCCAGTTTTGGCAAAACAATAGATAAATTCATTTTAT